GATAAACGAGGGTTCACTGTATAGTAAAGCGTGATTCTCAGATTCAAAATGTTCATTACTGGTCCATTTCAGTTCACTAATACCTGGGATATTGACCTTATACTTTCTATTTCATTTTTTATTACTTCCTAAATTCATATTTGTACATCCCACTGATTCTAATCGTATTTGTGGCTTTTTCTTCTCAAATTTTGAGTCATGCCACGTCAGCAAGTGAAGGTTCCAAAAACCTTGTTCTATCTATATCACTAAGGCCAATTTTTTGAGGAGGCAGCTCTTCCCCAGCTTTGGCATCTTCTTTCCTTCCGACCTGAAGGATCGCTTATCTTCCAGCACTCTATCAGACAACAGTCCACTGTTATCCATGAGGTCTGCAGTGGCTAATCCTCAGAAGGAAACAGCCTATTCCTTTCCCCCAGTCTGTTCTTAGTCTGGAAGCTTCCTTAAAAACTATACACCCGAGGAGGACCTAATGTCGGGGGCTTAAGTGGAGAGAAAATGTTTTGAGAAACGATGTACAAATGCACTTTACACAATTGATGTGTGTATGGATTGGGATAACAGTTGTATGAGCCCCTAATAAAATGTTAAAAAGAAAAAAGAGTTGTATGAGCCCCTAATAAAATTATTAAATATATATATAAAATAAAAATGGGGGGAAAAAAACTATACACCTTAAATGACCTGCAGGTATTAGAAATGACAATGGTATAGCTTCCAGCATCACAGCAACACCCAAGTCACCACAGTGCAACAAACTGACAGACGAGTAGTGGGAACAACTTGTGTAGTTATTACTAAATTGGCACCTAACTTGCTAAGTAAACTTTCACCAAATACACAATTACATATTAAAATAATTGAGAAGACTAAAATTAAGGCTTGGCCCTTGCAGAGTCTCATGTATTCATATTTTGGAGAAGACTATGATACTAAGTGAGGAAAGAAGGGTACAAAAGGGATTACAGTGGGTAATTAGCGGCAGGGTGGTGGTGGGTACTGAAGATCTTGTGTAGAAAAGAGAGGGTGGCAAATATTCCAGGTTGGAAGAAATCATGTAAAACCCTGTACCTCTTGTGAAAGCCAAGAATGCAAAATCCGAGCGGGATATAAAGTGAAGCGTAGTAAATTCTTAGATTTGAGCCAGGTCAGCATTCTGATAAAGTAATCCCTGCTCCAAAGCCCTTTCATGTTCCTTACACTTATTTCTTCCCATCTCGTTTTTTTCTGTCTAGAATTCGAATCATGCCATAATCATTTGGGTTCTGGTGAAGGCCCTACACGAGGGTACTTCAAAAAGTTGATGGAAACATGGCATTATCTTTTCGTTCCATTTTCGCCTCTTTTATGTGCGCGCGTGGACACACGGACTCTCTCTCTTTCTCTCTCTCTCTCTCTCTTGTAGAAGCAAAGCGAGTTTCGGGAAGGCTTCGGAGGAGAGTAAATGATGGATGGGCGCGCGATCCACCGACTAGTTCTGACTTCCTGGAATGAAGTCAGTCACTAGGAGCACCACTACAGCGCGCCCGGGAACGTTCTCGGCGGTCGGCAGGGTGGGTCCACGGGCGCACGGCGGGGCCCCAGGAGGAGGAGAAAGCAAAGAGCACAAACTTCACTAAAAGTCATGAGGAAAAAAATTTTTTTTCTTTTAAGCCGTGCAGCTGCGGAAGGCGTCTCCCGACGCCTCGAGCCCCGAAGTCCCAGCGACCCCGGCAGGAGGCCCCAACCCTCCCACCCAGACCCACGCGGAGCCCGCCCTTGACCCCGAGCCCGAGCCCGAGCAGCCTGTACCTCGAAGAGGGTGAAGAGCGCGTAGGCCGCCAGCCACACGCTGCAGGTGACAGCGGTGAGCGAGCGCAGGGAGAGGCGCGGGCAGCTGAGGCAGAACTCCCGGCAGGACGGCGAGTAGTGGCGGCGCTGCAAGGCCAGACGGCCGCCGCAGATGTCCGAGAAGACGCGCTCGTCCTCCATGGCCGTCTCCCGGCACTCGTCGCGCAGCGCCGCTCTAGCCGCTCTAGCCGCCCCGCCGCCGTCTCGCTGGCTCCACACCCACTTCCGGAGGGCGCGGCCGGCGCTCCGCGCAGCCGCAGTTCCGCGCCAGGCGCCCCGGAGCGTCTTCCCCCGGGACTTCCCCCGGGAAGCTGTACCGCGCTCCCACTGCGAGCGCCGCCTTCGAGTTCTGTTTCTAAGCCAGGGGGTCGCCCCGGCACTGTCCACGTGCCATTCGTTCACGTAGAACCTAGTGAATGAGCACCTGGAACGTGTGCTCGTTGCCGGCGCTGAAACTACCGAGGGGACAGTAAGTAGCTTCCTCTCTAGTGGGAGACGATCCAGAAGGGTCTGTCAAGAACTGAGTTTCACTACCGGGTTTCTCCCACCCAAATCTCTGCCGGGAGGTAGGCGGGGGAAGTGTGAGGTGCAGAGTGTTTGGGAAACGAGATTACTCGATTTATGTCATAGCTCCCTGAGGGTACCCGCTTCTTCACTCAGATGTGACCCAGAAGAGGGTTTTCTGGCTAAGTCTTGACGCACGTGTCCATTGGCCAGAACTCTTCTAACAGATCCTGAGGTGCCATCAAATCTGTTTGATCCATAGCGACCTTAGGAAACGCTGCACGGTTCTGTAGCATCCTCACAATTGTTCCGATGCTTGAGCCGATTGTGGCAGCCAGTGTGTCAATCCCTCCCTTAAGGGCTTTCCTCTCCTTCAGTGCCCTTCTAGTTTACCTAACATGATGTCCTTCTCCAGGGACTGGTCTCTCATGACAACAGTCAAAGTCTGTAAGACAAGTCTCTCCATCCTCGCCTCTAAGGAGCCCTCTGGCCATACTTCTTCCAAGACAGATTGGTTTGTCCTTTTTGCAGACCATGTGATTTCAATATTCTTCTTCAGCAAAATTCAAACACATCAATTCTTCTTCCGTCTTTCTTATTCAATATCCATCTTTCACATGCATATGAGGCAAGTGAAAATATCACAGCTTGGGCCAGGTGCACCTTAGTCCACAAAGTAACATCCTTGCTTTTCAATACTCTAAAGAGATCTTTTGCAGCAGATTTACCTAAAGCAACTTATCTTTTCAAGGCTTGACTGTTGCTTCCATGACCATTGATTGTAGATCCAAAGAAGTAAAAATCCTTGACAACTTTAACCTTTTCTCCACTTATCCCAATGTTACCTATTGGTGCAGTTGTGAGGATTTTGATTTTCTTTACATTGAGTTGTAGACGTTGTTGCATAGTAGACTCTGATTCATGGCGACCCTAAATATTACAGAGTTGTTGTTGTTGTAGTTGTTGGATGCTATAGAATTGGTCCTGACTCACAGCAGCCTGAAATACAATGAATGAAACACTGCCCGGTCCTGTGTCATGGTCACAATTGTTCTTATGTTTGAGCCCATTGACGCAGCCATTGTATCACTCCATCTTGTCGAAGCTCTTCCTCTTTTTTGCTGCCCCACTACTTTACCAAGCATAATATCCTCCAGGGACTGGCCTCTCCTTCAACATGTCCCAAGGATGTGAAATGAAGCCTCACCATCCTTTCCTCTAAGGAGCATTCTGGCTGGGCTTCTTCCAAGACATGTTTGTTTGTTCCTTTGGCAGTCCATAGTACTTTCCTTGTGATTCGCCAACACCATAATTCAATTCAAATGCTTCAATTCTTTTTTGGTCTTGCTTATTCATTGTCCAACAATTATGTGAGTATGAGGTGAGAATACCATGGCTTGGGTCAGGTGCATCTTGTCTTCAGAGTGACCTCCTGATTTTACAAGGTCAGTGCTGCACATGACCTCTACAAAGGGTTGAAAAGCAACGATGTCACTTTGAGGACTTAAGTGCACCTAACCAAAATCCTGTTGTTTTTAATCACTTCATATTATATAATGACTGGGTAGGAGCATGCAAATAAGATATAGATGACTCCTGACACCAAGGGCTCAAGTAAAAAGCAAATGTTTTGAGAATGATGATGGCAACAAATGTACAAATGTGCTTGACGCAATGGATGTATGAATGGATTGTGATGAGAGTTGTATGAGCCCCCAATAAAATGATTTTTTTTTAATCCAGGATAGGCAAATCTATAGCGACAGTAACTGGATTAATGGTTTCTTGGGAGCATAGAAAGGTAGTCTGGGAGGGAGTAAATTAGAAGGAAATAATAACCAAGAGTGGTGCTGATTGTACAATTCTTCCTAATATGATTGAACATTGGATTTTATTATTTGTGAATTATATGCCAATAAAACTGTTTTTAATAAAGAATGCCATGAAAAGACACATTCAAAAGAAAAGATGTAGCTGACTCTAACACAGGGATGGGTCACTTTTATCATACCTCTGGGTATAAAGAAAGACACTTCAGAAGAAGGAAGAGGATTCCATGACCATTAAGAAAGGAAAGCCGCTGAAGGTAATCAAGCGGCCATCAAGCTTAGAAGCAACAAAGCCCACATGGAAGAAGCACACCAGCCTATGCAACCACGAGGTGTCGAAGGGATCAGGTATAAGGCATCATTAGAACAAAAAATCTTACCATAGTGAATGATGGGAGGAGTGTGGAGTGAAGATCCAAAGCACATTAGTAGGCCACTGGAGATCCCCTTGCAGAGGGGTCTCGAGGAGGAGATGAGCCAGTTAGGGTGCGATGTAGCAACGATGAGAAATACAACTTTCCTCTAATTCCTAAATGTTTCCTCCCCGCTCCCACTACCATGACTCGAATTCGACCTTGCAAGTCTGGCTAGACCAGAGGATGTACACTGGTACAGATAGGAACTGAAAATACAGGGAACCCAGGGAGGATGAACCCTGCAGAACCAGTGGTGTGAGTGGCGAAACAGGGAGGGTAAAGGGAGAGTGGGTAGGAAAGAGGGAACCGATTACAAGGAACTATATGTGACCTCCTCCCAGGGGGACAGACAACAGAAAAGTGGGTGAAGGGAGACGTCGGACAGGGCAAGATATGACAAAATACCATTTATAAACTATCAAGGGCTCATGAGGGAGCGGGGAGCAGGGAGGGAGGGGAAAAATGAGGACCTAATGTCGGGGGTTTAAGTGGAGAGAACATGTTTTGAGAATGATGTACAAATGCGCTTTACACAATTGATGTGTGTATGGATTGCGATAACAGTTGTATGAGCCCCTAATAAAATGTTTAAAAAAAAGAGAAAAGAAAGGAAAGCCGCTAGGGGAGCATGTGAGAGATCCCAGCCTGCAGTGGCAGAGGCAGCGGAGCACCAGCCGCTGTAGCACCTACCTACCCCATGAGACTGAGCAGTGAGTTTCCTGACCCACAGAATGAGTAACCCTAAATGTATTTGAGCAAAAGGCTGGCTTGAGATATGGAGTGCCCTGAACATTTATCAGCATTAAAGGAGCTTTGTAACACTTACGTGAGCAGGAGAGAAGCTGTGTGACCGACTGAGAGACCAAGAAGCAGAGAGACATGCCTGCTGACATGGCTGAGAAGAGGTGCTGCTGTGGACAAAGGACTGTCACCTTACAAGGCTTTTTGATCCTGACTTGACCGAGACTTCTTATTTTCCATTTTTTTCCAATGGGTTTATAATTGCCTGTGTAAGGATTGTTGTAATGGAGGCAGCAGCAGCAGTTGGGTGGGATGGAGCAGCCACTGAGCTTTGAATCTGGCAGGGACTGTAGGTGAAAGTCCAGGTCCCCACCTTGTTATTTGCTTGTAAGGGAAAGGAGGGGCTGCATTGTTTTTCTGGGATGGTTACTGCAGTATAGTGGTTATTAGTTAAATGCTTTCTATTTTGCCAGTCCCGCTCTTTCGTTGTTCTTTGCCTACACAGAGCAGGCCTTCTTTGTGGGTTTTTGTCTGCACCCATTGGCATTTCCAGGTGCTAGCTTCTCCAGCACCCAGTCTGGAATATATGAGACAGGAAAACACTCAGAAGTTACCACTGAACATTAATCCTCTGGTTCTCAGATCCCTAGACAGTCAGCCTTCCTCACTCCACATTTCAGTCTTATATTTGCTTTATATATAATGCTCAGGGATTTCAGCTACTCTTAGTGGACAAGACAAGGAATATATATATTCAATATTTTCAGATGCAGAAGTCTCTTCCTTTGCCCATTGAAGACACATATGGAGTAAGGATGGCACAGGACTCAGCAGTGTGTTGTTCTGTTGGACCCAGGGTTCCTATGATTAGGAACTGAGTCAGCAGCACACAACAACATCCATGAAGTGAAATTCACAGGCTACTGTTTACTTCTTCCACACTCTTACTGGTCTCCTTTCATGAACAGCAGGCTTCATGTTAGTAAAGACCACTCTATCAATCTTTTTTTTTATGGTTAAAATTTTGACTCATTTTTTCATGTTCTCTTTAAGAAATCTTTACTACTCTAAGGCCATGATTTTTCCTCCTAGAAACTTTATTGTTTGACCCTTCATATCTAGGCTTATGATCCATTTTTAATTAATATTTATTTAATTTGAAGAGGCCAGGTCCTCACCTTTACCCCACCCCTGGCCAGCACCATATGTTTAAACCATCATCCTTTGCCCATTAATTTCAGTGACGTCTTTTTTTTTAAGCTAAGTGACTGTGTAGGTGTAGATTCTCTGTTTTGCTCTTCGTTCTATTTTGTCTTTCCTTGTATCAGTATTAAAGTGTGATTCAATTACTGTAGCTTTATAGTAGTCTCGATGTCTTATAGTGTTATATCCTCCAACATGGTTCAAGATTGTGCGGGCTATTCTAGACCCTTCGCATTTTTACCAGAAATCCTCCCGGGATTGCATTGAATCTATCTATGGATCAATTTTGAGAAAATTGGAATCTTAAAATTTTAAGTCTTTCTTTCCATGAACCTGGTGTATGTCTCCACGTACTAGATCTGCTATCTCTTAGACATGTTTAATAGTTCTCTTGCACATCTGTAATTAAGTTTATTCCCAGCTACTTGTTTTTGTTTTTTCCCCAAAAGCATTGTTTTTATCTATACAGAGGTAGGTGGAGTGGGAGATGTTCCTTTATCAATCCAGGGTCTCCATGATGTTGCTCTGTTTATACCAAACACACTGACAAGTGGCTTCATGAGTTTGGTAAACTAATTATGTCTAGTCTCTCTGTGCTAGAGCAACAAGGTGGATGTCAATTTCTGCTTCTGAAAGAATCTTGAATTTAAGATTTTTCACAGAGTCATATTCATCTGCTCTATGTCAGGATCCCTGTTAGTCTTGTGACTATCTGTATGTTGATTGATTGATTCTTTTTGGTGCCTATCTATACAAGCTAGACAGGATAGGCAATT